CTGTCGCCAGAAGTGTCGTGCAGAACGGACAGACAGGATGGAAGCTGTTCGTTCCATGTGGAAGCGGGATTCTTGACCAGAATCTGCAAAATTTGGGAAAGTAAAGTAAACTCACACATTTTGAATTTCTTTGATAATACAATCTGCTAAGAAAAAAAAACAAGGGATTTCTGAATTCCACAGAGTGAGTTATTTTCGACTGTCAAGACTGGAAGATAGATAGAAAACTTCAAAAAAATTAGAAAGCAAAACTGCAGGGGACACAGCTTATCGCCACCACGAAACACGCACAGAACCTGCTATAAAGCAACGAGATCACTTGCAGCATAAATATGAAGTTCTACCTGACAGTATTGAGGCTAGCTACGTGCCCACAAGGATTAAATGCGTGATCGAGATTGCCAGAGTCCAAATGGAATGACGACTCCATTCCCATTGTCAACTGAAAACATCAACCCTAATAGACTGGCCAACTTATTGACCATTTTCATTTTCGGCATGCGCCGACATACGTAGCGAGGGTGGGGTCGCTCGACAGAAAGGCGCTTTGGTTTTTTTTTTCGTTGATGTCGCGGCGCGAAATATTTTCGGTGCAAGAACTCCAGATACACTCATGATCAGGAACGGTTTTGGAGTTCCCGCAGCGAAAAGTTCCGCGCTGCAAAAAGCGAAAAAGCTACTTTCTGTTTTAGCGGCCCCCATCACAACAGAGCGATCAGTAAGGAACGGACACCAACCTGAATAACTCGTTCGCTCTCAGCCAAACATATAGGACACTTGTAGGACTGCTGCCCAGTGGATGTAGCATGGTGACCCCACTCGTGCTTACCCTGCACGTGACCACAACGTAAATACACCTGAAAGATTCTCACTAATTTTGCGCTCAATAAATTTACCGAATCGATTCCTCCCTCATGCTACTGTCAAATGTCTACTGTAAAAAACTGAAAAGGAGGAAAACTCACATATGGTTGCCGGCTACCACCACCTTTCGAACTCTTCTTTTTTGGAATTATCAAAGTGTTGAGATTCACTGGGCATTGCGGTTTCCCTGCGTTCAATCTGTCCAAGGCCATTTCTAACTCTTGCGCAGTCGGTGATTTTCTCAAGCCATCAGCAGTCCTCCATAAGAGAGTGGCTCCACAAAGATCAATCAGAGAACCGTCCTGAAAAAAGGAAGATAAATAAGTAAGAGCCAGGAACGAGTTTTTCAAAATCTTAAATGTGATGAGTGAAGTGCATTGCGCAACGAATTACATGAGCTGGTTCGTGAAATGCGTTGCGCAATTTACCTCAAATTCGAAATTCACAAATTCCATATCTGAACAAACGTAGAAAACCAGGTGATTTTTGACAAGAGCAAGTGAACTTTTTCAAAGAATTACAACCGTTGCGAAAAGTACCTGCAACATGTTGGTCTCTTCGGGGACCAATGCACCTCTAGCGTTACTACTTCGTGTCTCGCGTAGAGTGTAAATATCACCATCCACAGAGACCTCACGCCAAACATACATTGGAGGCACATCTTCATCCGATAACTCCTAAAAAGACTCACTTGAAAAAAATATAACTGATAATGAAAGAACTTATAAATTGGAAAGCAAAGGAATGACAAAAAAGTGAAAGCAATGGGCAGTGAATGAGCAAAGAATGAAATCGGCGCGTAAGAGCTCTCAGAAATGGTGTAGGTGCAAGGTAAACTGAAAGAGAAAAAGAAATATTAAGAAAATAAGCCTTAGTACGACGGAGTGACACAGTGCGCAGAGGAGCGAGTTACGTGAAAGAGCACGCAGGGGCACAGAATCATGGTCGCTGGATAGCAGCCGATATGAGTGCCACTAAGGACCACTAACCGGGAACGTTGACGATGCCCTAGCGCCTGTCGTCACCACTTTACAGATGCATATAAAAACGCGCAATCGGAGCTCGAAAGGAGCTCTACCTTGTCACCACTCAAGACAGTATAAACGCGCAAGTAACGGCAAGCTTCGCCAAAGGGCTTATAATCTACCACTACCCCTGAAAAGGATACCGGGCTCCGGTTTGTGTACGTACGAAGGAATGCACGAATTTCTATTGTGCTTAAACGGCTCCCCCACTTTCTTCACGATTTGGGGCGCGGCCGCGGCAAACCCGGCCGAGTCGATAGTGCCCGCGAACTGTGTGGGTAAATTTGAAACGCATCACCACCACAGTTCGCGGGCACTATCGACTCGTCCGCGCGCGCCGCGGCCGCGCCCCAAATCGTGAAGAAAGTGGGGGAGCCGGGAACCATGGAATGGAGCTACGGTCTCTTACAATCCCCTCGATTCTTTGCAATAATGATCCTTATGACCGAAAATGAAAAATACAAAAAAAAACACACAGCGAGTAAAGGCTGAAAAAATGACTAACAATCTCCACTGATCATTTAATTACCTCCGTGTTCCTATTAGGATGTAAAATCAATATCCCGTTTGTAGTTAACCCGTCCATTTCTCCATTCTTTTTCATCCATTTCGTCGCCTTCTCCTGTAAAAATACTACCGCTAACACCAACAATAAATGAAACAATACAGTGCCTCACCCAGACACCAATCAGTAGGACAGGAAAATTTCAAGTAAGAAGAAATCGAGCTCACCCCGAGGAAAATATTCTTCACTGAGTCAAATCCCGCAGCGTAGAGAAACGCTTTGTCATAGTTCTCCCGATCAATGATTATTCTACATGCATATCGACTGATTGTTGATGATATCATCTTGTGTGGATCACTTCCTGCTCGTGCTCTGACCGGGCCAGAACCTCCTGAAATCGAGAAGCTTTTCCAAGTTCACTCCAACCACGCAACCGGTAATTGACTAGCTGGATAATGTTTGAGCTAGTGTATGACTGACTGTTCAAACCGAGAGTTCAAGAACACTTAAACGTTGAACTATCAACAGTCACACGATTTTTCAACAATTTTATTGTTTACCCATATACCGTGCACCAGTCGTTTAAAACGTCAGTGCTGGATGTGCATCTCAAACAGTGCCCATCGTGGTCCCATATTACCCGTCATGGTCTTCGTTCCCATATTAGGATGTTTTTGGCTTTCCGGAAAAGGAAGGTCCCACTTCACGAAGAGTCAAGATGCGGGCAGAAGGGAACCAGTGTGTGACTTTCCAGCTTTTGCATGTAGAACTTACGACAAGAATCACTTCGGTTGTTCCCTTCACATGTGCGAATAGCAAAAAGGAAAATGAAAAGAGAAACTTCTTAAAAACGGACAAAGAACAAAAAAAATAATCTTAAAACAGCAAATGACAGCACAAACCAATCTTAAGGGGGTGACTGGATTAGTAAATGACTGAAACGCTACGGTTCATCCCAAAGTGAATGTGTTACCTCCACTGCCTAATAACAGCCTCCATTGCTGAAAGCACTAATTCTGCGAGTGACTATACAATTCATTTTTACCTGAAGAAGAAGCGAGTTGTGAGCCGGACGCAAGCCATGTGTCTACAATCGTGAAGTCAATTTGTTCTTCAGAAGAGCGTCCAATCTGTAAAATATGCAAAATATGCAGAAGTTGTCCAAAATTTACGCAGATAAACTGACTACAAACCGAACCTGAAACATATCCTTGAATGGGTCTGCCACATATTCAACGAGAACCGTTTGGTTTTTGCTGTAGGAATACGAGACCACGTGACGAGTTTTGTCTTGAACTGCCTAAAATGCGCATTTGTATGGATAAACTACTGAGTATCATCTAACAACGAACTCAAAGTAGGAGCGAAAGGATGAAAAATAGGTTACAGCAGTATTTACCGGCGCATCTTTGGCAGCAACATTCACTTGCGATATGGAACCCTTCTTGATGCCGTTACCAGCCTTCCTCCGCATTAACGCCATTTTAGTGCGATGCCGTTTCAATGGCACAGTTGCCTTGCTATCTTGGCTGCCATTGTACCTAAATTCTGTCAGGTATGATTTTTCTTCAGTTTTTGCATGCAGTATGGTTCTAGAACACTTCATCACGCATCTCTGATTCCATATATTTCGTGCACGCTTTGACCTCACTTTAACAAAAGCGGTATGCCAACAATGTCTCAGCTATTACGACGCGATTATACGCAGAAGGGTACACGACCTCTTTTCCAACGTTTTTCTTATATCATTAAACCAACTATTCAGAAATTAAGAAAATTTACCGTTAATTAAGTGATTAATTTCAATTTTCCCAACAGAAATCGGCACTACTTCAACTTACAACCCCAAAATCTCAAAATTTTGAATTTCCTTGAAACTTCGTCCATAAGCGTTATTCGATGCCCTGATTACGAAAATAAAACTCGCTTTCGGCCCTGTATCCGTGACGGACCCCAAACAACCCCTGTATACAATTTTCACCAAATTCGGTGAAACTTGCATACAGGGGTTATTTGGGGTCCTGATCACGAATACAACATTCATTTTTCCCGCTAGCGCCAGTGGGCGCCTGTTTTCCGCTCGTCTGCGCCCTCTCACTGATCAGCTCGCGATCAGGACTAAGCCTTTGGGGAGGGGAGTGCTCCGAGGTGAATACAACTTACTTATCCTGTGATCTTATACGCTTAAACATGCCACATGGGGTGCAGAGTTTCACCGATCCGGAGCCTTTTCTCTTCGAGCTTAGTCCAGGATTGTGTTACAAGTATGGAGGAGGGGCGGAAAAATGCGAAAATGTGCGACGTTGTAACGTGAAATGCTAAAAACGACATATCCGTAATCAGGACCCAAATAACCCCTGTATACAACTTTACAGCGAATTTGGTGAAAATAGCCCTGGCGCCAAATGGCGCCAACGCCAGAAAATGAGTTTCATTTCGTAATCAGGGCATCGAATAACCCTATGGGCGAGTTTCGAGGAAGTTCAAAATTTTGAAATTTGGGGTTCTAATAGTTGAATAGTGCCAGATTTTTGCCATATTTTCACATCCCGAACGTCTCGCAAGAGCGCGAGATTTCAATTAGTTTCGTGGAACGTCGCAAATAATTTGAAGAACATGAAATCAATAAACGCGCCGCAATCTCGCTAGACTTTCTTGTGAGTACGCTCGCTTCAAACGTCTGAGAGGCGTGAAGCTATGACACAAAAAAATCCCCAAAAATTCCCAGTTTCGGAACAATGGAGTGCTTTACAAGTATATACATGTAAAAAGTAAGTCGAAGTATATATAATATCGGGCTTACCCTAGTAGAATGAGTTCGCCGTATCCCGTCATCGTCGTCAAAGTTCCCGTTCGATCAGAATTCCGGACTCCTCGTTGACATCAATGTGAGCATTCTCGATGTCTCGGGAGTCTATTGAGACACCGTCGTGCTCATCAACACTCATCTGAAATAAATGACATTTAAAGCGCAACATCAGTTGATTACGGAGAAGCCGACCAAAGAATAGTATGGAATCACGTACAGATCCACAAAAATCTTAGAAAGGAAGGCGACAGCAATCTACAGAGTACAACGGCTGATGATAGAAATTCTTTAAACCATCATCAAAAAGATCTGAAAAAAAACGGCAAGCAAAAAAATGATGCACCACAGAACAGCTAAACTCTTCGAAAAACGGGCTGGTTACTGGTAGATTGAATCAAAATCAATGCAACCACACAGAATTACGATGAATTTCCCGACCACAGCAACGCGACAAGATTCATTAGAAATAGAAAGCGTGATTGATTAATTCAATAGCTGTGTAAAACTGAATTATACGTAAAGGAACTATGACATGCTGATTTGCGGACAAGCATAATAAGGGTGTAATTTTCGCGAATTTCCGTTGACATGCCTTCATTTCACTATCACGGAGGTGTTCAGCGGTCTTGTTGAAGCAGTTTAGACAATGTTATTTGTTTAGCTATGTTCGTATGATGAAAAACAATAGGTTTGTTGTTGTAGAAGCAAAACATCTTTACGCGCAGCAATGTAGTAGCTTTCTGGACGGAATCGGCTGTTACTATCATAGCATCAATACAGCTTCATACTTCACAAAAGGCATTATCCCCATCATCGAAAACCAAGGAGCAAGGTGCTACATCACTTTGGTGCGCACGGGGGAACGGTCAACAGAATCGATGGCTCGTCGCGCCACCGCGTGCGGCCAATCGTGCGGCGAGGGGGCGGAGCCTTCAGGACGAGTGTTGTCTATATCGACTTCTGAGTAGGATGGCGATCTTCATACTCTCTCTTTGTGACTAGTAGGATGTTTTACAGCGTGAAACTTAAAGTGGGTAGACTTACTCCTCCAAACTATGATGACCGTGCCTTTCTAAAATACACTGTTCATCATTTTAACCACCTGTGATTCAATACTATTTGTTCTTTGGTAATTGCAGAGCTTAAGAACTGGAAATTCTTCTTTGACACGGTTTCCCTAACTTATATCTTGAATTATTCATATCAATATTTTAACTAACAGATGGTGGTTATTAATAAACGAAAGAGCTTCTTTTCAGTTACCAGACTTATGCTCTTCTAACCACTCCTTGAAAATGAGTAGCGAGTACTACCCACGTGCTTACGAGGCAACAGAGCTGACGCTCGCTACTAGTTTCCAGTAAGAGTTATGTGGATGCTATGAACAAAAACTGTTGCATCGAGTCATATATACCGCGGCTTATCGCAACCTTTCTGGGGCTCTAAACAACAAATTCAAACGAAATCTCAATTGGATTCTCCTCACTGGACATTTCTGTTGTTTGTCCGAGCAATGAAGATCTTGTGCGACCTAGTCCTAAAGACAAGAGCCTGAGGCGAAGCCGCCAGCACCATACGTGTAATTGGTTATATCTGGGGAAAACAATGGTTACAGAACCTGTCCCAAGGTACTTTGCCGTGATGACTGCAACACTATGTTGACTCGAAACAATTCTTTTATAGTATCAGAATAATTCAAGTTATTTGTCCAGGAAACACACCTAATCAGAGCAAAGATAGGATCACCTTACTGGTCGTCGTAGTAGTTCTTTATTTTGTTCGCTACCACACGGTTCTCATAGAGAAAATGTGTTTTGTAAAATAATGGCGCTGTTTAGAGACACTGTGAGTGAAACTTAGTAGTAGTGTAGACAAATTATATTCATGTTTTGATCACAAAGCCCAAAAAGCTACATGCTTATTATAGATTTAGATAAGGAACAACTACAATATTAAGATAGCTAATGAAAGTGACTGTATCCTTGCTCCGAAGTAGAACACGTAGGGTTCAACAATTAGAAATTCCGCTGAACAGTCATTCACAATCACAGTCATCGGAATGCTCAGAAAGTCCCACGCCATTAGTACATCCGATATCTGGCAATGGACACGCCCACCCGCCGCGCCGTCGTGGCCACGCCTACTGGCGCGGCGATCCCATCGATTCTGTTGACACGGAGCCGGGGGGGGGGGGAGGGCAGTCACTTGACATGCGTGAAAAGCTGGAATGTTCGAGTTTACAATGTCTCGCTCGAGAGAACCCAGGTGAGCAGACTGCCGCGCCGCCGCGTGGCCCCCCCCCAACTGAGTTCGGCTCGAGCGATCACGAGGCACATTGTAAACTCGAACATTCCAGCTTTTCACGCATGTCAAGTGACTGCCCTCACCCCCCACCCCCCTAGACTGCCTACACTCCCCCCTGGCCCACGGATTTCCGAACATGCCAGGCGAGCAGACTGCCGCGCCGCCGCGTGGCCCCCCCCCCAGCTAAGTTAGACCGGAATCAAGTCGGGAAGGGTTTGATACTACTGAGGATCTTTCTCTACTTAGCAAATAGCAGCGCGTATTCAAGCGCAAAGATTCTCACTTGAATTGACGCATAATATTGGCATATCTTTACCACTAGGGCGAATTTTTTTCGTTACTCCCATCGCCCTAGATCAAAGCGTTTTCGAAAGGTGTATTTAAATAGCAAAGAGGCCTGGATTCTATTCTCCAACAACTTTTCTGTTGTACATTTGACTACAGTGGTTGATTTTAATATACTTTATACTTGTTTTCTCAGCGTGTCTTACTGCGTAATGAATAAATAAAAATAATACACAATAACAACCACTTGCCTTCGCGTTCGCTCCCTGCGTGCATCAGTGCTAACAAAAACGACTGACATACATACTTTCTGTGGATAATGATCAAATAGTCACTATGTGTGTCACGAAATTTTAACGTAAATCAAAAAGATACCCTCGTAACGCTTCGAAGAATAAGTCCATTTTCGAAGTCCCGCTTATGGATACCTGGTCCTTTCCTTACTTTTTAGCTTTTTAACGGTCTATTTCTAGTGGTCTCGTATTTGCCACGTGACTGTAATTTCATATAGCAGGACTTAGTCTTGGGTATTAAGGAATTTATGCCAAAAACGTAATTTAGTAGACAAAAGGAGTTGAACTATAAGAGCAGTCGGCTATTCAACCAACTGGTAAGTGTATGGGTAACGGAAAACCTCCGCTCTCAATACTAATGATTCCGACGCAGTAAAACGTTGGAGAAACTGGTTGTGCGCTACTAGAGTAACTCAAACAGGAATTGACTTTTTGACACATCGTAATGTAGAGAATGAAACCAATACGCTAGGAATACAGTATGCCCTGAAAATGGACAGAACGACTATATAGGACAGAAATCTGGGAGGGTACAGTACGCAATTTCGACTGAAACTACGCCTACATTTTTCCAGTCTTTGTGCTGTGAAATATTCGAGATGCTCTTTTTGAAGGTTATTTCGGTGACTCTCTGAATCGTTTTGATCACCTCAGAAACGAAATCTCAATATTTTCATTCTTAAAGGTTTTGAGCATAAGGAAGCTAACGAACAAACGAAATAATGAGAAAATAAATAATGTATTCTGTAATTGTGAAGCTTTCAATAATGTAACGGCCATCACCCTGAATCAAGGGTTTTCTCCTCAAGAAAATCCTTCAAGACTTCGTCACTACTTTTTCTCACAAATGGTGTAGTGTTGTTGGGACTCTCTGTGATCCCTCACTCCAAACGATACAGTGCTTATTATTTTGTTTATTTGGTTGTTTACGATACTTCTCACAGACTATCATTTACAATTCAATTCGTGTTACGATTCGTGGAGCACTCCCAGAAAAAAAAAATCAAATGTAAAACAACTAGTAGTCCAACCAGAAAGCAGTCCAGTAAAAAAATCATTTCAAGGATTGCTCTACTGTTTGGGAACCACAAAAAGGAAGAGAATGGTGGCTCAGTGGGTAACTTGTCTGGTAATTGGCCAGACATCTGTCCAGTAGCGAAACGAGCGGCGGACTGACATCTGGCATGCGTTCATTGACCTCAGCCACCCATAAGGTCAAGAGCAGCTGTGATGGATCAATCAATTTTTGCGCCATGACTACCACATTTCTGGGTTCAGCCGAATGGATGGATGACTAGCAAGACGTGTGCACTTCCATGAAACTCTTCTTCTTCGATAGAGTAGCAAATACAATCACATCTCATCGATTTATAGCAAGCATTTGACTCAATTGATTATTAAATTTCATCAAGTATTCAAAAAATAGCGCTACTTTGGGTGAAAGTCAGGATGCGCTCAAATTCGCTGATGGCAGTACCGATTATCATTCTATGGACTGTACGACTAACAATAAAATTTGCTTCTATAAACACGAACCACAGTCCAATTTCTGCTTTCTTAGGGTCGGCTATTGATACTTACTTCGTAATACAGACTTGGAACCCTGGTTGAAAGTTGCGGACCTACTGCTGGTCTAAGAGTTGGATCCTAAACATTTGACGACTATCTTTCATGTGTAATAATATTATGTAATATTTCCTCCTTTCACGCTATTGTCTTTGTGTGTTTAATTGATCTTAATGCTCCTGTATTTCAAGCGAACAATAGCCGAATAAATAAAAGAAAGGAAGAAATCAACCACAGTTGCGTTCAAAAGTGTTCGCCGAAACGGTTTTTCGTGCTCTCTTTTTTTTGTCAGAAAAAAATCAACTGTGACTCTCGAAACTCTTCTTTGAATATCCTGATTCTTCAAAGTTGAGGATATAAAAACACTAAAAAACATAGTATATCAATCTTTGGAGGACGTTGCTCAAGCGAGAAAAAATAATGCACTGAAAATCGTTTCGGCGAACACTTTTGACCGCTACTGTATTTATGTCACTATAATTTATTATAATTCAAACGAACCGGTGATGTAAGGGATCCGGTCCTGAAGAACCGTTAAATCTCCCGATACGATTACCAGGGCTAAGCGGTGATAAAAA